ACCTCATCTTTCAAAAGTCGCTGGTTAACACAATACAAACATTGGTATTATTATATCTGCTTGTATTGATCTAGATACTTCTATATATAATAAAATATTTATTGAATATGGAGACTATATAAAAAAAAAATTAATCATCCGGTAGCAATTGATTGAATGATTTTCTTTAAAATATTCATCTTACTCTATTAATCAATCACTACAACTGCTGATTCTATAACTGAACTTAATGATGGTGTACATTTTCCTCCACAATACCATACAAAAGTCATTTTCCCAACAAAAACGGCCAAATTAATATGTTGTTTGAACATTGTTAAGTAAACATAATCATACGGGCACGTGTGGTGCGCACGCCACTCTATTCAAACTACGGGTCGCTCTATGGGATTTAGCAGAATCTCATTCGACGAACCATGAGTCAGTATCTTAAGACTATATCCAAACAGAGGGCGGCCAGATTGATGTTTTAGATATTGATATGATGGTGATTTAGTATGGGAACACAAATAATCCGGTTATTTAAATTATATGGCCTCGAGGTTTAGAAACCTGAGTACCTATAAATATCTAATATGAAATTTAATATACTAAATGTAATTAAGTAGAAATATATATGACAATACAAGACTTTTTAACAGTTTTTTTTTTAAATCATCACCTTCATATCAGCCGTTAACCGTTCACTGCTGAATATAGGCTAATGGTTGCCTCGCTAGACAGGCGGGTTGGCAACCGCAGTTAGGCTTTTAGTTATGTTTTAAGAGGGACGCTGTTGTTCATTCCTCGGCAATTAAGTTCCTTTAGTCGCCTCTTACGACATCCACGGGAACCAAGAGATAACCCATTTTATGCCGGTACCACACGGCCTTTTTTTAATATCATCCATTAATTATTACTTCCACACTACATAAGTATCCCCCATATACTTTCATAAGGAACGGTCTTGAGTCGTCAGCGTCCTATGACTTCTTGCTACACATTTAAGGTTATCGCTACATTTAGCGAGAAGAGGGACGGGGTCGGTCGTCACTACGTTTGTCTATATGCGAGTATAGTTTATTTGTATATTTCAAATTCATTTTAAATTGCAGAATGAATTTGGATATATAAAAATCTAATACTAAAAATTACTAAAATGGGTATTTTCGATGATTCCTCTATCGCTGGTAAAATAATGACACAGTATCGAATGTTTTAAACATAAACTGTTGTAAAAATTTTGAAAACTTCAGTCCTGGAGTAACAACGTGTGATATTTCGTCTCGTTTACTTTCTTAAAATTCATATAAATTCTAAGATGGATCTTAGTACTCTTAGAGGTAGTGCGTGCGAGGAAGGAAGGTGAAATATCTGTGATGTTCACTGAGCATTTAATTTCACTTGGCAACAGTTATCACATTAAATTAATAGCTTGTCAAAGTAAATCGTTCAAATATCGCTGAATAGTTGTTCGATTGAAGTTGTATTAAAAGTTAGTATCCACTTATTAGGTACTTGGACGCGTTCCAATAGGAATTTGACTAAAAAATTTGACATTATGATCAAATGACTTTACAATATACGATATGTTCATTGTGAGAATTGGGCACAAGTAGACTGTTAGATCGTCACTAGCATCAGTGGTATTTAGATACCACTGATTATTATAATATTTAAATATTACAGTAGATTATGAGAAACTTTACGAAATCCACTTTACTCTTCTATAGTGTTATACACCGTATTTATTTATTGTACTGTTTTTATTACAGAGACAATTTGTAATAAAAAAAAATCTTAGTCGTTCAAATATTGAATATTTATCAATAAATTGGTTACAAAGTGTAACCACTTCAAATGAGGGATGCTCGGATATTTTTCATCGTACCAAAACAGAATGTTGCGTGTTCAGTTCGCATGCACTGCACGGCATTAGCTGATTGCCCGTGTGCCCTCAGCCTAACGTTTTAATACAATTAAATTGACCGCGACTCTCTATTATCCAAACGCCATCTTTCCATCGCCAATTTTACTCAACGACTGTTTTGCGTGTCATTCTTGTTATTTAACTTAAGTATCAACTTAATAATTCGGCATTTCATTAATAATAATAAAAAGTGTTACGCCTTATCATTTACCGGGGATAAGTACCCTACTCTAAATTCTGTACAGTGAATTTGTTATACTATATTTATAGTAAACAAAAAAATATATAAATATAAATGGATTATACACAATATAATTATAAAAAATTCTAAGGTTCGTCCGCATTAATAAATCGACCGTATTATAAATGTATCTAAAATACGCATATAAGATGCTGGTTACATTAATAAGTGAAATTCTCATCCTTTGTTTGGGTAAATATCTAAATTATCTGAATGGTACTACATTCTGCAAGTCTATTGAACTATATATAATTCGGTCAACTAAACTAGTTCGATCAAAAATATTAGGAAGACCTTGACTTAGTAGTGGAATATTATTTATATTAAAAGATTGCCATTTTCAGGTCAAAGTGTAACGTAATCTAAAGTCAACAAACTACTACATTTAGGAAATATAATAGTAATACACTATAAAGAAATCTCTTTCCTGTATACTACCTTTTCTACACATTACCACCCCTCGAATTATAAAAATAAATAAAAAATATTTTTAGCTATCCAATAATTCGTGGACCGCTGTGTTCGACTTCTACTTGAGTTTCATTTATTAATCAAAATAGGATTTGTTTATACCATAAAAGTGGTAAACAAGAACAATTCTAGGAGCGTCAAGTGTGCGTTGCTGACCCTGAAGAAACCTTTTTTAAAACCCCTATACTGTAGTCTCTAGAGAAAACTTCGGCAAAGAGATCATGAAATAAAATATGGGCTACAAATCAATTATAATTTTACATTTTGTATATTATACTCCAGTGTTATAGTGTTAACCTAATAAACTAGCGATCCTCGATTGCACTAAAGAACAAACGCACGCAATTCCGTTACTCTTAGTTAACAACGTTCGGCCTAAGTTAATTATGTTCGCCGTATAAATCTTTCGTAATTGGCCTCTTGTTTCACAACACTAAGAGCTTGGGACGTGTTGAAATTATATATGTGAGGTGCACGACCAAGTTTCATGATGTTTTTGGTAAATTATGTGTTAATGGAACGATATCTGGTAGTACCTATAGCGGTAACAAAATTAGGTGTAGGAAATGCGTCGTATAGTTACTTTGGTACATTTAGAAACTACTATTTTATAGTACGTATCCCATTCGTAATAAGGCAAAATAAAAAATATTTTAAATACTCAACCTTGAACTAAATATATTTTTTTAAAAGAAACATCAGAAATCCCGTCTAACTTGGTTAGTATTTCTATATATAATATTAGATTACTTATCTATATATATTTATCATTATACTAACTTTTACACATAACTTCGTTCCTCTGACCGGAATATGGAATAAAAAGTAGGCTCTGTCGTCCATTCGTACGTATACCAAATTTCATACTGATTATTTAAACCGTTAAGGGGTTAAGAAGTAACAAAGAACAAATAAACAAACTCACTTTCACATTAATAGTATCACTATGGATAAATTCTCAAATAAAATAAATAGTTTACCTTTAACAATTCACACATGGACAGTTACTACATACTATTGAAAAGGAATGCTTAGTGTCAAATTAATGGCACATGCCTTTTCGAAGGGATTTAAACCGAACAATTTATCAACCCCTTCGGAACTTCAATCTGATCTAAAATTTTGTGACACCGCAAACAAAAGACGAACTCGACACCCGCTGCCGAACTAACGTGGAATCATATAAAATTGTAACACGAGATAATGGTAATGATTGTGCTCAAACGCAATGCAATTTACTGACCAGGGGGCGTGTGGATTAGCCCTAATCGGGCGGCGGCGATGACAATCTGCCACGTGGGTGCCACGTGGGTGTCGCGTGGATTGCCGGGACAGTATACTAGGTGCTAGAAGTGGTCGACGGGTCGGTCGATTCTTAGTCGAGAAATAGATTATTTATTTATTTATTATATTCGCATATTTCGCTTGTTACAATTTTTTTATATTTGAAAGTAGAATAGTTACTCCGCTTGCAATATTCGTATATGCTAGTGGGGTATGGTATAATGAAGGATGACAGATGAGGATGAAGTCTGGTCAATTAGTAGATGAATTTACTAGAAATTAACTATCACAGTTCCAGAGAGGCCGCGTGAAGATCGAACTCATAGAGAGCACTGCTAGCTATAGAGCTACTGAAGTTCATTGCTTGCAATCCCCTTTCTTCTACTGACTGTGTAATCCAAATAATGTAGGTAATACGGAACTTACTAGAAGATACTATAATGTATTTAAAATGAAGTCCATTAGAACATTCTTTGCAAAAAAGTTTTTTTTTTTTGTTATCGCAATGGTAGATTATATAACTATGTTAATAAATTTCTAACATTTCTCTTTGTACAAGATATTATTGTAAAAATATAATCACTGGATGGTTGTTAAATTTAGATTATGAGGATACAGAAAAAAATCTGAGATAAACAGGATAATATATAAGTACAATGTATTGGGTAAAAATCAAATTCACTACTCACACACATACAAACACACACACACACACACACATACACACATATAAACACACTCACACATACACACGTCTTTCACGCCACACGTAATATAAATCAATAGTACGTACATTCCAAAATATTATTGTGTATTTTATCATATTTTTGTATTTAATTTTGCCTTATCATGATGGCAATTAGTAATATATTATTGATGTTTATTTCTGAAAAGGAATCCTGGTGATCTAAGATACAGACAGCTCGCTGCTTAATTTAGACGCCAGTCTCCCACAACTATGTTTAGTTTTATATTATTGTTGCCAATTAATGTATAATATGATTGTGGTGGAAAAATAAAAATTATTATTAATTATTATTATAATATTATCAAATTATAAAGCAAAATGTTTTAATAAAATTATTGTTTTCTTACCTGTTTCGTTACGGAATCTATGAGTCGAACAAAAATATCTTGTTCTTGTCTAATACCTGTAAACAAAAATAAATGTTGTAATATCCAACAGGCCTTTGATAAAAGAAATTTACGGAAAATGGTTTTCTTTTTTACATTCGATAAAAACCTTTGAAATAAAAGCTATATTTGTATTATTTTTATATTTTTTTACACGTGGGGAAATATAAAAAGTCTGCTTAGATCACCTATAAATTTTCTATAGATACATATTAAAATTAGTAAATGGTAATAATAAGACCTCTTTATTATTTTTTCTTAATTTAGTTATTACACGGAAACCTGACTTTTCAATTCGATGAATACAAAAGGTTTTCTCGAATTGTAAAGTCAGGTTTCCGTGAGTTAAATACGCGGAAATCTGACTCTGCATATAACTAATAAAAATTTGTGATATGAAAAGTCAGCTTCCCGCGTAAATGTAAAATTCAACTCAATTCGAAAATCGATACACAGATAAAAAAATATATTTTTTATTGCTTCGTTTCGTACTAAATACTAATATGACCGCAAAGTTACAATACATTTTATTTACTCTTCGTAACGCGCAGACACCATCCTTATTTGTCGCCTACTCCAACACACTCAATACAAAGTGTATCACTAATTCTGTCTCGTATAAAACATTAACATTTGCACACAGTAGCAATAAAGATCGTAGCCGGCTACGGCGGGTTACGGCGCCACCGTAGCCTCTACATAGCACTATTTGTTAACCCCCTGAAATTACCCCCACGGCAGTTTCTTACTGTTTCTTTTGCCTTTTCACGCGATCTAAAATAATTAAAACACAGGAACATCTGTATATATATACATACTTATATATTCTAAAAATAGAGTATTCATACTATTTTAATTTTTTTTTCTAATGTGGACATATTTAAATTAGAAATATACATGTAAACCTACCTATTATTATATAATCATAAATATTTTTTCTAAAATATATATATATAAAAAGGCCAATGCTCCCCACAGCATGTCAATTCGACAATAGATAGTTATATTGTAACAATAAAATTATAATCACGAATAATATGATAACTATATTAATTTTAAATATTAATGTCAAGACTTCTCATTTAAAAGCCTGCTGTCGTACCATGCTATTATTAGAAGTATCTGCTTTGTTAATTAATCTGACACTACGAAATACGCTAGAAAGATTTTAAAATTGCATTTTATTATTATAAATTAACTTATGTATTTGATTCTACTGGAATAATTTAAGCTTCTTAGTCTTCGGTAACGGCAATGCATAAAAGATATCATAAGCGATATAGTACACTTTATTATGTCTATGGTACTGTTTATGTCTATAGGTAACAGTTACCACTTGCCATCAGACGAGCCAAAAGCTTGTTTGGATTCTAAGTTTGCATTCTACGTTGCATAAAAAATTTCTAGTCCACAACGTTAATCTTACGTTTGACACTTTTTGAAAAAATATCAAAAATGTATAGCTGGAATAAGAACCTCCTTTTGAAGGCTGTTAAAAGTATTAGAATTTTTGCAGTATGCTTCTCAAGCTCTTTAGTTCTTAAACGTATATTAACGAAAATGTAAGTTGCTGGTATATTCGTATATTTATAATTAGGCCTATATATTAAAGATTTCCATTATAAATAAATAATTTGCATATTTATATTGATAGGTGTCTACCTAATTTATTATTTAAGAGCCATACAAAAGGTCCAGTCATTTATAGTCCAAGAGCTAGTATACTCTATGCCAATTTTCCATTATCTCGCTCTAAAGGCCAAGACGGCAAATATTTACAAAGCACAGTGTACATTGTCTCCGTGCTCTGCTCCGAGCTATTGGATTTGGTATTGTGATTTTATATCAACCGTAATGCAACTATATAAGGGGCATTATAGAATGACTAATTTGATATTCATTGTAACATTATGTTATTAATTTGAAATTTTATCAAATGTTTTATTTAAAATACGTATCCTACTATTATTCTCGCGCAACTTAGTTTGTATGACCAGAATTTATCAATTAATGAGATTAAATTAACCTATATCCTTTTCTCATTCCGTATCCCAAATACGTAATTACCAAATTTAAATATTATTTGAGTCGCTACTTTCACATCTAAGTATATAAATAAAAATCGATTGCCTAATGTATGTAAATGCATTACTTCAAAATGGCTGCATCTATTTGGCTAATGATTTTTTTTTTTAATGTTTGCAATTATCTAGTTTTTTGTAGTATGTGTTATTATCGCGACATGGTTTGTATGATTGAAAATATTTGAACCGTGAAAAATTTTGGATAAAAAACTCAATATAAAAAAGTGAGTTAGGGTGAGGAAAGATTTGGTCTTAATTTCTTTATTAGTACACCTATCTGAACCGGAGCGGGCAACTACTTCATAATTATAATATAATTAAACATTATATCTATTTAAGACATGTAATTTATTCTAGCAAATATTTATTTTAAGAAATCTGAATAAAGACAACTTTCACTTAATTTTATGTGATTATATTTTAAAAAGGTCGTTTACCTTTTTATTGATAGTTACTTTAATAGTGATAACGACATTATACGAGAGAAATGTGTTTGCGATGCGACAATAGGATTGCGAAGTCACAATGCCGCCACCAACCGAGGCAATATTTGCACAATTCCTGATCTATTGCACTGAATATCAAATGTGCATTGCTTATAGGAATATTCCACAATGCATCACAATATTGTGTCCTTTGTATATTACAATATAAAATAAAACCAATTCAATACATTTTAGTAACATTGACATCTATTAACAAACCTTTATAAAGTTCTATATTTGTTTTTGTTTTTTTCAATTCGTGCAATGCAATGAGGATTTAATTTTTTTTGATGGGTGAAAATGGTACAGTAACTCCGCCTGCGCTAACGGGATACGCTGGCGGAGCACCAGTGAAGAGTGATAGATGAGAATGAAAATAGGCCAGTTAGCCCATCATGATAAGTTCATCAGGAATTAACCATGATAGTTTCCAGAGGGAACCGCGAGGAGGTCGACCTGATTGGGTACATTGCTAGCAATGGGATTCTCAGTCTCTATTACTAACAATCCCTTTCCCCCCTGAAGACTGAATTAAATTGTATGTATATACTTTTATCTGTACATGTATATTATTACCTAAATATATATGTTACTCTAAAAATATCGACATTGGGAAATCTTAAGATTTACCAACTTGACTTGATAAATGCAAGAACTTTATAAAAAATAATAATTTGTAGGTAGGTCCTTTACCGAATTAAACCTAACGTACATTTTTTGCAATAAATACGAACACCACGTACTAAACATGTCTAAGTCATGTTTGTTACAATAAAACACGAATTGGTGGTAAATCTACAATTTACTATATTTACACCAAATACGTAATAAATGTCAAAAATAAACATAAAATTAAGACATATATAGTGTATCGTGGTTAGAAAGGTATGTTAGGTTAAATCCTAGGTCAGATGTAGTGAAAACTCCAAAATGATCTTTTTATTTATAAAATCCTTACATTTACCAACTCACGTTGGTTGGTAAATTCTAAGATTTACAAGTAAAACCTAAAATTTACCAATGTATGAGCTTTTACAGTAATACACACATAATTTAATAAGAAATGTTAAATAAATAAAATTAAATAATTATCGTTTACTTACCATTTGCGTAAAGTAACTGCAGTCTATATTGAATTCCATTGTTTGTCTTCTGACCCTCGGCTTCCTAGAAAAATATTTTTTAGACAATAATTAAATAGTAAAAATTATAATCTACCCTAAACAATATTAGTGTACATTTAATATAAACATCGGAAAATAATTCTAGTCTTGTACCACGTGATTACAATTATAATTTTATAGCTCAGGGAATAGGCAAATTAAATAGTAAGAATATGACGCCTTTATAAATAACTATATCTCGACAGGATAATTTTACCATTACAATATGGGTACATATTAGGGAAATAAAATGTATACAGTTTATGCAATGTTATGATATCATCATGCAGTTCATTCTATGCGACCATATCAAGGAATTTGAAAATTTTATACTATAAAGTATCCTATGATACTTTTATGGTAGGTACTTAATCTTTTATGATATTTATCGACACTGACATTTATAAAATGCATTTTTACAAAATGTTACACGACACTAGAAATAATTATTTACTTTGTTGCGTTATTACTTCTTGATGGTTGCACAGATTAATTTTACTATTTCATTATTATAAGAGCAGTGCTGAATCTAGATAAAGTAGCGCCGCTCTATGGCATATTAACAAGTTCCCGCCAAAAATTCTTTTCATCATGTATTACTTTTTAGTAATTATTAACTGCCAGTTGCATTCTTAATAAATTATAAAACACGCTTTGATAGAAAATAGGACTACCTATGGTAAAACAATATATTATGGCAAAAAATGTTTAGATGCTATAAAAAAATATAAATTATTGCTAAACAATTGTAAAATATATATTTATATATTTTGGCGCTGTTGAACTAATAAGAATAGGTATATTGATGTGTTAGTATTTTGTCTAAAAATTCGACCTACATTGCCGCCGTCCTTACAGTAGGTACTTAGTTACCATACCATACGCAGCTACGAGTACGATATCGTAAAAACGTGGACACGGGTGTTTACCTTGTGAATAATTAATTCGACAGAAACTAGACGTGTGAACGCTCTAGCGGTTTTGCCATTAACCTGCATAATCTATGTAACTATGTACATATATCCAGAATTAAAAAAAAATTGAAAATTCATACAAATACCTTCTGTTATCTACTAATAGTAAAAAATTATGAATTTTCATAGATTAAATGCGTATCATCCAACTTTATTTCAACTTTATTCACATACATGTTGTTGTATAAATTGTGAATAAACATTAAATTTATCAATCAGAAAAAAAATACTCCAATATGCCCAATATTGCCTGTATGCCCTATATACCAGTATCCAGTATGCTCTGCTCATATTGCTAAAATAAAAATCAATATAGAATTTTTAATAATTATTTATCAATAAATTAATTTAATTTATCAATTAATTATAGAAAGAGAATGCACGAGGTACCTACTATTTTTAATCTATGAGCAAAATCGTATATCATAGATTAAGAATAGTAGAATAGTAATCGATAATCTCTTTTTACATAGTAAATTATGGATCTGATACTGTTTTTTTATATGAAATAATAAAAGGAACACAATCCATTCTACCTAGTCTTCAAAGAGTAATATATCAATGAATAGAAAGCAATTGCACAGCAAAACGATATTTCAATACTTTCGATTCGAAATTTGAATTGTATTAAATAAAAAAAATATACACATAATTTAATCTAAACCCCATCTTTAGAGCTAATATAATAAGATTAATATACTTTTAAATTATGTTGCTAAATCAATTATTCGTGTTCTCTTATCCTTGATAATGTGCATAAAGTTCTATTATGAGTAGTATTATTATCAATAAATTTTAAACAATTTTTTGGTCAGTTGAAATTTTCAATTAACGATTTTAGATTAATTATTACTAAGCTTTCTTTTGGATTGATAAGTTAAAATTTATCAATCCGGAGGACAGTTATAAATTCAAATTTTACATTCAGATACTAATAATATTCACTATATTGTCAACTATTAACAAAAGGTCTCTGGTCTCCTTGTGCATTAAAGTCGTGAGTATATTTTAATAGTCTCTAAAAAGCTTAAATTAAACCAACTCGGCATTTTGTTTGTATCACATATTTTACAGGTTTTTTATTACCACCAACGCAGCGTATTATGTAAATAAGCTATTGTACACACAATAGACATCATGTCTGAGTGATCCTGATTAATGGAGTCCTGACTATCATGATACTGATCGCGTATCAAGGATTAAGGATAAAATGGAATACCACTTAGGTATAATTTTGTCTTTCAACATAGAACTGTATTAGGTAGGTACGTACGAACGTACGTATGTATATGACTTGTACTCGTAATTAAAAATAAAATTGGATACTTTTAATTTTATGTATTTTTTTTCTTAAAAAGACTTGCTTTTTATTTTATGAGGGAATTCATAAGTGGTCTAAAGTATTTTTTAAAAATAATCAATTTCCGAGCAAATGTGAAATATATAATTATTCATTATAATTTAAGCTTTTATCTGCGACTTCATCCATGTGATTTTTTCTGATCTCCATTAATCATAAAAATACATGTATACCTACATATACAAGTTATGATATAACCTAAACCAACCAAGTGGACCAAATTCAAATACATTCGCCTATTTATATTGATTAAGTAACAAACATACATACATATTTATAAACTTGTACATTTATAATATTGGAAAAAAAAAATATATATCAATTAAATTATTCTCACCTGATCCTTCTCAATGAAGCCGATAAAGGCGGTCCTCTCGATTTCGACGGGTTGACCGGCTCGATCGTACAACGCCACCACGAAATGGAAGAAGTTGCTCTTGCGCAGGTTACTGGGCGGTTGCTTTTCGAAGTGCGCTCGACCCACACCCACGCTACTGATGAGTTAAAAAAATTGACTTTAGAATTCACTTTAATTCAATTTTGAGTTCAAATTGAGAATCATAATTCTAATAAGATTATATTTAACCTAGTACTGGGCCGAATTTTTTTTAACATATAATTTGCAATCTGAAAAAGTTTGATTATATTGGTATATAAATATTTATTATACATAAAAAAAGTGTCATCTTTATATTATTAACAGTTGCAACAAATAATAATTTACTAGAGGGAAACTTTGTACAAAAGTACAGGACTTTTGGCTTGGGCACCTCTGTCTCATTCGTGTTTCTATCGTGAAGCAGTTGTGTTTATATGGCTGTGTTTCGGGTTGGAGGGTAGGATATGTCAGTGAATTTACAGAGTACAGAGGAATAGCTACTGAGTTCTCATGAATAACAACACATGGGAGGTATCATGGGCAAAACAGTATACTCTGTTATGTCCATGGTACTGCTCATGTCTATAGGCGACGGCTAGTATAGTAGTCGCCACAGATAATATAGTACTAGTATAGTATTATATTATCTGTGGCGACGGTTACCACTTTCCATCAGGTGGGCCGTCAGCTTGTTTGCCATTCTAAGAGTGGATTCGACCAAACTTTAATTTATACACGAATAGTCTTTTTCATGATGTTAATCTCGAATAAATCAAAAGTCATTTTTCCATGCAGTTTAAAGTATAACTATACTTTAAATAACTATTCGTGACTAGTAAAGTGAACGGTGTCCGAAAATGATACCCGACAAATTAACGTTGTTCTACAGGAAGACGACATAAAAGCTTATGTTATATCAACTTACTTTTGTTGTATTGTAGTGAATGAAAAAAAAATTGCTGTCATTTTGTCAATGTTAACTGTCAACAACAATTTGTCAACTGACAACCACGTGGTATATCTACATTTGTTACATTTTGTTAGTTATTATTGTTTTCTTGTTAGTTCTTATTAGCAGTCGCTACACAACTGTAGTGTCTGCTTTTTATACTTATTTTGTAAGAAAATGGCTGAAGATAAACGGCAACGTAGTCCAAATTGGCTACAATCGGAGAGAGAGAGTTACTGTTTAGTGGAGGCCCACTATAACATTTTATATATAGGTAACATTTTATTTATTTTATACGAAAATGAAAACCAAACCGAGATTACCAGTACTTAATTGTACTACGTATAGAAATCACCACACGTGTTTAACAGCATACGAATCATATGGTCCTGGGACGCCATTTTATTTTACTATTCTTGGAATATCTTTGTTATACCATGCAAAACAGTGGTATAGTAGATATTCCCGAATAAGATCGTTAATCTTAGAATTGTAAATGGTAAAACGTAAAATTAATTTATTCTCGAATAACTTGCAGTTTAATCTAAAAATAAAATTTATTCTCGTTTGGTCGAATCCGCTTTAAGTTGCATAAAAAAAAAAAGTATACATGTTTCTTTATTAATGCAAATATTTCTCGCATATTATTTAGACATCACCACTAATGCAACTACACCCAACAAACAATTAAACGACAGCTGTGAACACAAAAAGTCGAAACTGAATATACTGCCGTAAATTTAAAATTCCTTCGTCGGCATTTTATTTTTATCCTACTATTTGTCAATAACTCAGCCACTGAAGCGATCAGCAAACTTACCACAGAATACAAAAACTTTTAGAAGAACAAATGGCAAATATTAAAAATTTTTAAAACTTCCTAAATTGATTTATTGCCTTCCCCGTTAGTTTAGAAAGTAAGGGTTTCGAATTATTGTTCGTTTATGATTGTTATTGTATTTAACATGGTCAACCCTATCACGGCTTGACGTCTCTACGAACAATTATGGCTATCATTTCTAACTCTAAAATAGGCAATAAAGAATGTTTCGAACATTTTAACATTATGTTGGTCACAATAGCGTATACTGATTAAAATTTAAGGCATATAATTAGCTGTAGTTGAATCTTTGTTATAATTTTACTATGCAAAAAAACAACGACTTGAAAATATAAAAAAATATAATCCTTCGATTATAAATAGAATTAATAAAATCTGTAGCAAAATTTATGTAAATAATTATTGCGTTACATAAAAATAAATTAACAGAATCTATGTGAAGTATATACTTTATGAAACGTAGAATGGGAAACAAGCTGAAAGTCCACCTGATGAACAATGGTAACTGTCGCCTACAGACATGTATAGCACCATAGACATGACAATGAATATACTGTGATGCCTATAATAAATACCCTTTGGAAACTTAACGTAAGTATAACGTATAATTAAAATTGTGCTCCACAAAAAAAAAAAACTTATTTCAACTGCACCAAATTTCATATTTTTTATGAGACAAATCCATATCCTTTCAGTTAAAAAAAAAAGTTTCCGAATCGGTTTACAACTAACGGAGTTATGAGTTAAAAAACATTTAAAAAAATACAAGCAAATTAGAATTTCTTTCTATATGAAGATATCGGTTGAAAATATATAGCCCATAGATATAATTAATAGATTGATATAGATATGATCAAATATATTGTACAGATTAATCATATAATATATCGAAATCCATTGTATTCCCGTAACTCTTTTTTAAATATAAATGCATAAGGTTCATCAATGATTGACGAATAACTGGAATGATGATAAAAATATACAGTAACATTTTCAATACTTTAGTATCTATTTATGAGGTACCTAAAACTAGATAATAACACGGTGGCAAGATTATAAATCTGAATACAATTCTACAACATCGATAACAAATATGAGGTGACGACAAACAAATAGCACCACACACCTCGATATCGACATATATATATGGTGTTAGAAAATGTATTGATTTATACAAATCTTTTAAACCCTACTGCAGTATTAATAAAGGCCAAATCTGTTTGTTCTGATAGTCGGAATATAATGAAAGCGTGCAATAAATCCATCGATAGAACATTAAAATTTGGAAATAGCACTTTATCATACGTTTGACCACATTTCTCATTGCTGTTCCCGTTACGAGTTATTTGCTGAATATAATTCATTAGAATGTAATAAGTAAAAATATTAATAATATAATAAATAAATCGACATGATATTATGTAACTACTTACATTTTTTTATTAGTTGTGCCACAGTTTATTTTTTTTATATTTTTTTCTTTTTGAAATATTTCTAGATTACGTTACGTACAAAATATAAAATATTATAACTATTTTTTTTTTTTATAATACATATAATGTTACAAAAGTGTTGTATGAGTAACTTCAGAAGTAATGTAGAGAGCATTTATTTTTATTGATGTAAATATTGCGTCCTTGTTAAATTATTATAATACTTAACGTATTTATATAAAGAAAAAAATATATAAGCAATTACAAAAGTAAAGGTAGCAATATTAGGTCAGGCATAACACAGCACCGTTTTGCAGCATGATCGTTCATTTATTGTTTTTCCATTTTTTCCCAATATTTCTTTTTTATCTTCTTTTTAGGTGCTTGTATTATTGTTAAAGATTTTATGGAAATACTAAATAATATGGAAATATAAATAAACAAAATTTTTTTATATATAAATAACGTGTTCCGGTTAAAATAACAATAGAGAAACGATAATTCAGAGTTAAATCTAAAAGTTTATATAAAAAAATTACATAAAATAAATACCTATAAAAATAAATAAAGCAATATCTATATTGGGTCAGGCACAACACTACCGCCGGCATTACCGCCAGGACCGTATTACGGCATGGTCGCCCATTCATCTCTCCCCGCTGCAGAATTTGCGTAAACAAATTGGTTTCGCGATTGCCATTTTATACTCTCGTACGCGACACTCCATTGTTTTATTTATCGCAACCAGTTTCGGCGCCGCGTTTAGCTTGTAGCGCTTTTTTCGCTGGCAGATCGCGGGACCATTATCAATCTTCGAATTTGGATCCGTTTTCAGTGGACTAGTGTACAAATTTGGACAAAAAAATTAAACAAGTATTTTAGGTACTATTTATATTATTTATTACCAATATAAAGGTCCCGGCATAGAATAGGTCACCCCTTTCTTTCCCGTGGGTGTCGTAAGAGTCGACTAAAGAAGGGCAAGAGATGGACAGCAGCATCCCTCTTAAAACATCTCTAAAAGCCTTACTGCGGTTGCCAACCCGCCTGCCAAGCGTGGCAACTACTGACAAAACTCCTCTTATGAAGAAGGGTTATATTTAACAGTGGATAATTTACGGCTGAAATCATAATAATAAATAACTAATATAATACAATGACAATTACTACCTTGTACTACAAATACCGACTTCAATAATAGTTACTTTAAAATGAATTAAATACACCGATTGAATGACGAGATCATTCATTGAAATTAACTCAAGAAATAGTTTTATGAGTGGTACTTTATAACAGACGTGATGGCAGGTTCCCTTTCCGATGGGATGGGATGGGATTCGGTTCACAGATCATACCAACGTTATTGTTTGTAAGCATATTTATCTTTTTTTTCTTTTTGATAATGTTTTCTACGTTTATTAAGTATTTGTACAACAGTAGATAATTACAAGTTTAACTTATTTTGGGACTAAGTGACGCTGCTTGATATACCCAATTCTATTTATTAATGTGCCAGGGTCGCAACTCGATATCCGACCCTAGTCCTCATTTACGAAAGCAATATTCAGAAGAAGGGAAGGTAACATTACTAAAAGTAATTTATTAAAAACTCAAATCAAGGGTGGGGGCAGTTAATGATTTAGTACTGGGTAGTAGATATATAAATGAGTCTGTCATCGCCGACGGCTAGCTATCTGTCAACATTTGTCATCCTATGAGCTGATGACTGACCGCGATTAGTTAAATTATAGTAATTACAAGAGAAAGGGCTTGGTTGATACGTAATTAATTTATCTATACTATCATTTATTATTTTAATGTCGTAAATTGGCTAATAAAATCGTCATATTGTCTGATCGTTTACTTTATGTTACATCATATCTTATGCAACT